AAGGGAAAGAGGGACGCTGGGGCTGTCCAAACTGAAGCTCAACAAAACTTAACTCGAAACAAAGAATAACACATATATAATAGATAAGTATGAGGGGAAGGGGGGAAAAGAAGTAGTAGCACTCCAACGCTAATTAGGGCCGGCAGATTCAGCCTCCCCCCTGAACTGATAACCCTCTGTTTGATTCTTGGATCGGTTTAACCTTATCAGCCCTCGTTAGTCTCTCGGGACTGGGGGAGTTTCGATTCATTCTTTGAAGCTTCTGGTTCTTCGTCTGCAAGTGAAGACATAGTAGAGTTAACTCTTTTATTTGTGCATCATAGTAGAGTTTGTAGTTCTGGTGAAGACATGTTGAGCTGCTAGGGATATCAAAGTTTTCCCATTAACAATCAAATGAGTGATTGCCTTTTTGAAAATGCTAATAAGATGGAAAAGTGCCACGATCACTATGTCCATGATTACCTCAGTAGTCCTTGTTCCTGTAGAAGGAGCAAATTAGTTGTAATAAAAATAAGGTTGAACATGTAACTCAGTGACCCAACGAATTTCTGAGAGTAGTGAGTATGTTCGAGGCAAGAAACTTAGCTATGAATTGAGCTTGAGTGGATTAGAGAGATAGAAGGTCAAAGTGAATCTCGGCAATGAGAATTTGCTCATTTTATGTTTGTCAAATAGTTTCATCGATGGTACAAGGATGATATTGAAGATGTTTATCTCATTTTATCTCAAATGTGTTGTAGTACTTTTGATTATTGTTTTCACTGTTGCAAATAGAAGATGCTGGAGTAAAGATTGCATGCTTTCAAGATGTTATTATCTTGCAAGTACGTGAAGTGCAGAAAATCCCCTATCCTTTTTATAGTCTTTTGAAATTTGATAGTTTGATGCAAGATTAGGTTCGAGGGTATTGAGCAACCATGTGAGAGTGACTCAGTCAGAAGCTTTCCTTCTGGTGTATTTGGTAGGATACTGGTTCCAAAGGCAAAGAGTTAAATAACTATGAGCAAGATCATAAGAGATTGTTGTTATTATTAGGGAAGTGCAGTCGGCCTGTTCAAATAGAGTGGTTGACGAATTTGCTTAACCATTTAAACCAATCCAAATTATAGGCAAAACCAAACTAAACTAATTATAGGCATAACCGAACTGACCAAATCATCGGAAGAATTGAATCAGATCAAACTGTAATATAATTTGGTTTTAGTTTAACCAAATTTAGGAAAGAAAAATAATTTATGTTTCGATATTGTAAAATTTAAAATCAAATCATAATATAAGGAGAGAATGATAATTGAAACATAATATTAATACATGCACATGGCAATGGCATTTCTGTTATTTTGAATTGGATATTTATTTTGGTAATTGGGTTTTGGTTTAACTATTTTTTTAAAACCAAACCAAATCTACAATTCGTACAACCTTCTTTTCTTTACCAAAAATTGAATCACCCTTTATAGGCTAAATATACTAGGTTTTGTTTGATTTTTTGGTTTAAACCAACTTATGCACACCCGTAGGTATCATGCAGGAAAACTTTGTGTACTCAACTTGGACTGATTTACGTATACAATTTTTATCTAGAGCACTTAATTAGCCTTAAATAATTTTGTTGATTCAATAAACAATCAAGCAATAAAATATATACATTATAGATATCTATTTATAAAAATAGGGTATCAGAAATAAGAACAAAATTTAAATAATATATTCTTTTCCTAACTAGATAATTTCTTACCCAAAAGAATATCCAAATTTAATAAAAGAATTCAAATACAAAATTTTGTGAAATTCTGCCATGATTAAATGTTGTCAAAGGCTTGAAAATGGCTCAATCTTATCTTATAACCAACATATGGGCATTTGGACTTTGTTGGTGTGATTTGGCTTGTTTGAGGTTTTCACTTCATCATGGTCCAATTGATTTGATAGGTTGCCCCAATAATGGATGATGGTTTTATCTCCATGTGATTTGTTGAGGATGCCATTGCTGAATACAACAGAAGAGTTGGTATAAGAATGATTTAATAAATCATAGATCAAAGCAAGGGTACCGTGCATAGTGCATTGCGAAAAGGCTGGCAAGCACAATGTGTGCAAGTGAGAGTTGCCGGTGCAAGAAATAGACACTAATGAGAATGCTAGGATGCGAGGGAATGTTGGTGAATGCATGAGTGAGAGAATATGGATGGAGAGCTAGAGAAAGATGAAAATGAGGATAGAGAGGGAATGAGGAGGGCAAGGGTTAAACTAATTCTATAGCCATGTTAGAAAGAAAGGCTTTTGTTATATTCTCCTTGCCTCTATTAATCTATTTATAAGCCAACAGGGAGATGAAAAAGGGAAGACACTGAGGAAAAAAATTTCACCTATGTGGATTCGTTTCCTTAGTAATCACACTTCCATTCTTTCTTTTGGTAACGCTATCCTATCGTTATAGCACCTTCCTATGTAGTAGTTATTCTAACCGAATGTCTTGCTTATTACTTGGTTTGACGGCCTAGGATATCCTAGCACCTTCCTATGTAGTAGTTATTCTAACCGATCTTGCTTATTACTTGGTTTGACGGCCTAGGATATCAAATGCACAATGTTTCTATTTTTACACATCTTTCCAAGATACGGCTGGCAATTCAATATTATCTGTACATGTGAATCAGAAATTACAATCCATACGCCACACAATCAAATGTTTTTTATTGTACCATTCTAACATAGTATTATTAATATTTTTTTTAAAAGATATATGTCGCTGTGTTTTATAGGACTTTATACGTGCTGGACTTCAAGCAAATTCAGAGGCTATCAGATGCTTAGCTTGTAAATCTGTAAGTTATCAAACAATAATTTATACATTAGTTCATTTATACGAGACATGCTTAACTTCTTTAATTGGTTTCCATGTAGGAAGTTTCAGCTTTTCTGATGTTTTTATTTAAGAAATGCAATCCTTCTCCCTCTCCTTTCTGGTTCTTCACACAAATAGAGAGAGAGAGAGAGAGATTGATGCATTTTGAAGGATAAAGTCAATAATCTTATATATAAAGGCACAATGTGATAAAGATGAACTTTTCTATTGCCAAGATGAGAATATTTACTTTATTTCATTTTGTTCTTATGCAGTTGATCTTTGGATACAACTGGAACACCACATATCTCGGATGCAATCCTTGTAAGGGGAAGAAATCTATAGGAAAAAATCTGAAACAAAATATAACCTAACCTTAGACTAAACGAACACACATATTAATAGAAGTAGATAGGCAGGAAAATGAAAAGGAAGGGGGAAAGCTTGGGAGCAATTCCTGCTCCTTGAAGGTGCGGCTGGATCGAGACCTTATCCTGCTGGACCTGTACCAAGTTCTGTGTTAGTCTCCCGGTGTTAGGGGAGCTTCGTCTTCATCTGTCTAAGCTTTTGGATCTTAATAATATCGCGTCAGGTTCGTGACATTGAACATGGCTAGACTTGTAGTTCTTTGGCAGGTCGATATTACAGGCATTATCATTCAGCTTCCGAATTATTCTAAAAGATTCGTCTGCTTGAGTTTTTTGAATGCTCCTACCTAGAATCTCTCTTTCTTTAGCCAAATTCACATTAAGTCTCTTTTTTTAAAGGTCACCTTTTTCCTTGTCTTTATTTGCCTGTGTTTGTTACTTGCGATTCTGCTTATTGATCTTCTTTCCTACTTCCTCATGAAGTTTTTAAATCTCATGCACCCGTTTCTCCGCATCATTACTAAATTTTGATGTCGGCAGGAGTAGTACCAATTCCAGTGGAGTGAGCGGGTTGCACCCGTACACGATCTCAAATGGAGTGCAACCTGTGGTCCAACTTATGGAAATCTGTTATACGCAAACTTGGCTTGAGCGAGAATAAATTCCACTGCTTGATACTCTTCCCAACGAAGCATCTCAGTAGTTTTTCAATACTCTTGTTTACTACTTCCATTCGGTTATCCGTCTGAGGGTGTGCTACGGAACTGAATTGAAGCTTAGTGCCTAATTTTCCCCATAAAATCCTCCAGAAGTGGCTCAGAAACTTGACATTCTTATCTGAAGTGATGATCCTGGGTATCCCATACAGTTTACAGTTAATCTGCAATACAAGTTTGCTGCATGGGAGGCATCTAGTGTCTGAAGGCATGGTATGAAGTGTGCAATCTTCGAGAATTGATCCACTACGATTATGATTGAATTGTTGTTCTGCGGTGTCCTCGGAAGTCTCTCCAGAAAGTCCATGCTAACGTCCACCCACAGTGCCTCTGGTACTGGTAATTGAATTTATAACCATGCATTCTGCCCCTTATTTTTTGCCTTATGAGAAATCCTTCATTGCCTAACATGTCGCTCTACAGTTCTCGCTAGTCGGGGCCAAAAGAATTTTTCTCTCTATAGTGCAAGTCTTGTCCATGCCAAAATGTCTTGTGAGTCCTCCCCTGTGAATCTTCTGAATGATGGACTCCCTCAGCGAATATCTATGAATACACAATTTACTCTAGTACAAGTAACCATCAGCTCTGTAGTACTGTCTGGTGGGTTTCTCCTGATACTGCTTTCAGATTTTCCTGAAGTCCTTATTTGTCTCGTAATGTTCCTTTACTACCTCAAAGCCCACGACGCTAGCCTGCATCACAGTGATTAGCAAATCTTGGCGGCTCTACGCATCTGGTACCCGATTATGACTCCCTACCTTGTGCCTAAGCTTGAATTGGAACTGCGCTAAGAACACCCAAGTTGTGTGTCAGCCCTTCAATTTATTTTAGTTGTTCAAGGATTTCAAGGCCTCGTGATTCGTAAACGTGAATTCACTGTCAGCAAGTAATGACTTCAGTGCTCAACTGCTTTCATAATATCCTAAAACTCTTTATCGTATGTCAAGTATTTCCTTCTGGAATCATTCTACTTTTCACTGAAAAAGGCGATGAGATAACCTCCATGGCTCAACACTATCATCCCCACACTGGATGCATTTCACTCTATCTTGAACAGCTGGTTGGAATCTAGTAGTGCCAAGAACGATGCCTGGGTCGCCTGCTCCTTGAGTGCATTAAAACTAGTCCGAGCTGGCTTTATCCACTGAAAATTTTCTCCCTTCAAACAATCTGTCAGAGGTGTAGTGATGGTGCTAAAGCTTAGGCTGAATCATCTATAAAACGAAGCGAGTCCCATAAACTGCCTCAGCTCCGTGAACGAATACGGTGTGGTTCAGCTCACAATGGCCTCGATTTTTGTCGGATCCATCTAAATACTTGCACTATACACGATATAACCAAAAAAACATACCTGGTTTGTCATGAAGCGGTATTTCTTTGGATGAACATATAATTTCTATGCTCGCAGTACCTCAAACACTGCCCTCAGGTGCTGTAAGTGTTCCTCAAATTGGTCGTATGCCGGAATGTCATCAAAATAGATTGCCACAAATTTTCTAATGTGGGCCCAAAATACCTTATTCATCAACCTCATAAAAGTGCTGGCGCGTTTGACAAGCCGAAGGACATAATTGTTCACTTGTATAAATCATCTCATGTCTTGGAAGTGGCCTTCCACTCATCTCCTGTGGTTGATGAGGGGCGTGGGAAGAGGGAGGCTGCAGGGAGAGGGGTGCTTGGAATAGGCGATATGGGGGAGGAGTAGGTGGGGTTGGCAGCTAACAGTAAGGGGAAAGAAGGTAGGGATAATATCGGTAGCTATAAGAGGAAAATGGGGGAGCCGACAGCTGGATGTTGGAAGCAAAAATGACAAACAACAGGTCGACAGATGGAGCAGTTGCCGATTGGCGGCTGGAAGCAGGTTGGGATAGTGTGGGATGGGGAATTAGAGGAGATGTTCACCTCTTCGGAGCAAGATATAGTTGGAGCACCACCTATCCTTGGATACAGCCCTAGCAAAGGGAAGAAGCCTATAGACAGAAATCTGAAACAAAACATGACCTAACCCTAGACTTAGGAAGCACACATATTAATGGAAAATAGATTGGAGGGAAAATGAAAAGGCGGGTTTGGGGGGGG